TGCTCGCGCAGCGAGCCTGGGCGCCGAGGGAGCGCTGGGGGCGCGGCCCTGCCTTTCTGGATCGCCGCCGGGTCCCAAGTCCGGGCAGCCGGGCGCTGGCTGGGTGTTGTGATCAACAGGAAGCCGATGGGGGAAGTGAGCTGAACGGGCCGGTTTCATCACCGCGGGACAAGGCAGCTGCGTCCGTGCCCGGCGCTGGAAGGCATGGGGGCCGCGCAGTCCCTGGGGCTGCCCCCGGCGCAGGGACCCCACCGGGTGGGCTGCACCGACGTGATGGTGGGCCTGACCCGCAAGGTACGGTGTGGCGGGGGGCGGCTCTAGGCCTGGTTTCCCGGGAGCTGATCTCGCCCTGCCTGCGGGGAGACGCCGTGAGCTGTCTCCACCATGATCACCCAGGTGGCTTTCCTACTGGCAGGGGAAAACCACGAACGTAGTACGCTGACTGGGGTTATGCAGTTCCAATGGCACTGCGTAGTGGAGGGTGCGCCGCGTCTGCTTGCGGACACGACTCCCTGCGTGAGCCTCGTCGTTAGCCTCCCACTTAGGCTTGCAGCAGGAGGACGCCGACTTTATGGAAATGGGAGGCTTCTCCTTGGCTTGCTCCAGCTGAGGGTGAACGAAACTCGGGGGCCTCCAGGCTTGGGCCTGCACGTAGGACGCCCGTCGAAGGAGTTGAAGCCCCAGGCGGGGGTGGAGGATGTTTGCCGGTTGTAGGGCCGCTTACGGTTCTTGAATGATTCACACAGATTTGGAATTGATTCGGCTGATTTTTGGGACACGAAACATTTTCCTTTTAAAAAAAAAAAAAGAAAATGCCGATCTTGCCTTGAGCGGGTCACAAGGCCTCGCGGGGGCGACTTGTGCTGACTGGGGCCTGAGGCATCTGAGCTGTACATTTTATGCTGACTTGGGCTCGAGGCTCTCGGTCTCTTCCTCTCTCCTCCGCCTGGATTCTCTCTCCAGCTGCTTCTCGCAGCCCCTGGCATTAGTCTCGGAGAGTGACTGCTCGGCGCTGTGCAAGCCCTGGGACCAGAGCCTGCCCTGCAGAGCTCACGGCATCGCGGGGGGTGTGCAGCCCGTCTCCAGCATCCTCTCGCAGCTTTCGAGCTAGTCTGGAAGTGCCCCACAGTGCAGACGGACCTAGGTCCTTGACCCTGACACCAGCTGTCACTGGCTTTGCCCTATGTGGCGGGTATAGGGCAAAGCCCAGGCGCGGTCCAATGCTCGCTGGAACGTACAGTCAGATCGGAGCTTTCCTAGTCTTTGCTGGGTGCCAGCATTGTACAGCTGGCACCCAGCAAAGCAGGTGAAACCGGAGGGATGCAGAGGAGAGGGAGGGAGCTGCTCGTGGCTCTGCAGTGAACTTGGCAGAAGCAGCAAGTTGCCATAGTCGGGGATCGGGGCCGCAGTGTGCCAGGTGCTCTACGGATCTACTAAAGCCTGGTCCGTGCCCCAGGGAGCTTCCAGACCAAGTCTAAGACCAGGTGCAGGCTGTGGGTGTAACAAGCAGTTGGGGGCAGGAGCAGGAGGGAAGGCAAAGGTGATGGCGGATCACTTGGTGCTTGTGTCCAAGGAGCGGCCGGCTCCCGGTGGAGTCTCGTGAAGTCTTTCTTTATCATCGCAGGGAGGCTGGCAGAGTAGGGCCAGAGGGGGGTCTCACCCCGGCTGAAGCCCCAAGTGGAGAGGGGCCGGGGAGGACGGGGCTGTGGGGTCTAGTACCAGAAAGGCGATGAGATCTCCGACTTGGTGCTTTTCCAATCCATCCCTTCAGCATCTTTGTCCTCTCGCCTTTGGCCACAGGGTGGCTCCATGCATCAGCTCTGCTGGGCCCGATTCCATCTTCCCCCCCAGTTTGGGAACCAGGAGCTCTAAATGACGAGCAGCCTTGACAAGATGCAACCCATGGCATGAGGAGCGAGGCCCTGGGGGGGATGCTCACGGTTAGGGGGACATCGGCTGCACTGACCCCAGCCGTGGGGAGAGGGTCCTGGGTGCCGTTCCCTGGCCAGTTTGGGCAGGAGGTGGGTGAGAAGATGCCCCTGGTCCCTTCCACCGAGTGAGGCCCACCTCCCATTCAGAGCCTGACTGGACGGGTCCTGTCACACTGGTGCCTCTCTCCCCAGGGGCTCTTCTTCCGCCTCTTCTACCCCTGCCTGCCCCAGGAAGGCGTGGAGCAGCCGCTCTGGATCCCGCGCTACGAGTACTGCCGCGGGCTGGCTGACTACGCCAACCTGCACTGGAAGTGGTGCATCCCGCTGCTCAGCATCGCCTTTGGTAAGCATGTCCCTGCCCCCAGCATCCCGGGGTAGCCTGCTAGCCATGCCTGCAGTGGAGGCCGGGACCCCTGTCTCACCCCAGCGCTGGCCGCCTGGATGGGAGGGGGGCGTCCAAGGGGTGCAGGGCGAGCCCCTTGGAGGGAATCTCTGTGCCTGTTAGAAGGGGCCATAACGGGTCTGGTGCTGTGCATGTGCTTAGGCACCCAGCATCCTTCCCCACTTCGCTGCCATGCTGTGCCCCGAGAGCGGCTAGCCTTTCAGTGCCCACCGACTGATGGAGGCATCTCAGCCGCTCATGGCTTGGAGTCTAGGCAGGTTGGGATGCTCCTCCTGAGAAGAGGGAGGCCGGGAGCAACCTTGCCAGCCATAGCCCTGTGCCCAGCTGGAGTCAGGACTTGAATCCTATGGCTGCTGGTCTCGTGCAGGGCTCATAATTTTGCGTGTCCCTGCAGGCTCTTTCAGGGTCCCGGTCAGCTGGAACGGGCCTTTTAAGCCATGCAGCAGCAAGTACCCGCTGATCATCTTCTCTCACGGCCTGGGCGCCTTTCGGTAAGAGCCCCCAGCCCAGCCCCCACCCCCATATAGCTCCAGTTGGGGTGGAAGGGAGCAGGATCCTGGCTGCAGAGGCAGTTGCTTCTCCTCTAGCCCTGATAGCCAGTTGGTCTGGACACCCAGAGACTTCCAGCCTGTGGTGTCCAGGCTGAGCCCACGTTTGCCCCAGCCCGGCTGGGCAGTGGTTTAGTTAGGGGTGGGTTTCAGGGCAGGACGAGCTGCTTATGTGCACCTTAGCCCTGGGCCAAACTCTGAGCAGGCGTCATTGAGCATCGTGCCATCGACAGGAGCTCCGTCTTTATGACCAGTTCCATTCTCAGCTGGTCAGTGCCCCCCATGCCTGCCCCCACGGAGGTGGACTGGATGCCACACAGATGCCAGCACCCTCCAGCCCTTTTCACTGGGGTCACACTGACACCGCAAGCCCTCTACAGAGCATCCCGTGGCCCACTCAGCCTGGCCTCATTGGGATCAGAGCCGCTGTAGGCACAGCAAATGCATGCCTAGCACCATGCCAGACAAGCAGGTCTCTGAGGTGGCTTCCATGTGCATGGGCACGGAGGGCTGGCTGGCTTAATAGTCAGATGTGCCAGGCACCTGCATCCCCTCCCTTGCAGTCCGTGGAAGCCATGTGCTCTCAGCCCCTTTGGGATGGGCCTGCTTGTGGCTTGCCCAGTGCCAGAAGCAAGCTGAGCCCATGCAAGGCCTGTGCCCAGGTCAGGATCTTCCCCAGGGAGCCTGGCAGCAAGGCCCAGGAGAGCCCAACCAGCTGGGAATGGGGCAGGGCCCAGAAAGACTGCAGGCCTGGTGCTCCCCAGATGTGGGTGGGTGGGAGCCAAGGGGATTTGATGCCCCTGGAGCCCTCACGGCACATGCCCTGTGTCTGCAGGACAGTGTACTCGGCAGTCTGTGCAGAGCTGGCCTCCCGCGGCTTCCTGGTGGCTGCGCTGGAACACAGGTGAGCGGCGCCCCCCTCTGGCTGCCCCCAGAGCTAACGGGCCCTCCCCTTGCGGGGGCCTTGACCTTGCTGCGGCCCTGTCGTTGCAGAGACCACTCGGCCTGTGCCACCTACTTCTGCAAGGCTGGGGATGGGGAGCCCGGCGCCCCCCAGGCCGCACTGCAGGAGGAGTGGGTGCCGCTGCACCGGGTCCCCGCCGGGCGGAAGGAGTTCCACTTCCGGAACCCGCAGGTAGGGCAGGTCACGGCACAGAGGCTGGGGAGACCCCAGCCTGCCTCAGCCTGGGCACCTGCCTGGGTCTGAGGCTGTCAGGGCTGGGAGATGAGGCTGGAGTCTCTGTTCTCAATTAAAGAGGAATGTTCCTCGCACTTGGGGTGATGGGGAGATGCAGCGGCAGCCAGGGCTAGGAGCCTTGTCAGCCAGCGATGCAGCCACCTACCTCCTCCCTGCTGTCTGATTGCACCAGGCCTCCCCCAGCTACCCCAGTGTGCCCAGAGCAGGGGCAGGTGGCTGCAGGGCGGAGCAGTGGCTGGAGATCCTGCTGTGCCGAGACTGAACTCGGGCTGAAGCCATAACAAGTTGTTCTGTGAGATTTGCCTTGCGGGGCCTGGGCATGGGGCATGGAGCAAGACACCCAGGTGTGCTGTACGAGTGGTGGGACCAGGAGCTGCAAGTCACTGCTGTCTCTCCCTTGCCTCTGCTCCAGTCCCCAGAGCCTTTCTGCAGCCCAAAGAGGCTCAGCTGAGCACTAGCTGAGTCTCTAGACATTTATCTGCGCTCTGCAGCTGGCAGGGAGCCCCTGGGGGATGCAGTTCCAGTGACCACAGTGGGCACTAAGTCCAAAGGGGTCCACAAGAACAGCCCTCTGCCCCTCCCTGCACACTGCAGGTCACACAGTGCCCCCATTGCCCTACAGCAACATGAGGATCTTGACTACAGAGGCCTCAGAAGCTATCATGTGCCAATAGAAAAAGGGGAAGAGATGGCACGAGAGAGACCGTGAGCAGGGTGCCTGTTGCCCAGAGTCGATAAGCCAGGGAAGGACAGAGTGAAATAGGCTGGGTTTTTATCCCAGTTGTAGGAATCATTTTGCTTGGCACAAGGTGTTTTTTTTAAAGACCTCCGTCAGTGTGGTGCGTGTGAGATCACTGGAACGCCTTATACAAGCCCCCAGCCTCCTGGGAGAGGCGGACTCCATCCAGCCCCCTGTCCAGGGCTTTCTTCAGTAGCCTGCAGACAGGCCCTGCCCTGGCGCTGCCCTGCGCAGCTTCTCCAAGCCCAGAGTGAAATCTGGGGGGCTGTGATCAGCTCCTGCCTGTTAACTACCCACTCCCAGCCCTGAAACCGGCTGAGGTCCAGTCAGTTTTGCTCTGCTACTACAGCGCAGAGGGGCACTGAATGCACACATGAGAGAGGCTCCAGTCAGGGCAGGTGATGGTGTGGTGCTGGGGGACATGCCTGTCCCTGCTGCTTGCAGTAGCCAGGACATTGGAGAAGAGAAGGAGAAGCAGATCCACCGTGAGGACTCTCCGCAGCCTGGGGGGTGCTGGCTGCTGGGGGCCCTTCCAGCACCTGCCAGCCAGAGGCTGATGTAACACAGGCCTGCTGTGGTGCAGTGCATGTATATCTGGTGCCCCCCTGGGATCCGTGCATCGTTATACCCCGTCTGTTAAACCCACAGAGTAACATTTAAGAATAGCTCCTGCAGCCACTGCACCAGCATCTCACGGGGCCCCTAGCACCTCCCCTCATCGCTGCAGTTGGGCTGAGCTTGGAGCGGAGGCATTTGGACCAGCTCTGGGGCAAAGCTGCCTCCCATTCGTATTGGTCCCTGGCTGGCAGTTTGGTCAAGAGGAGCTGGGGATGAGCACTCACTCCTGTCCGGGGGCGCACCCGCTTGCTTATTCCTGCACTGGAGATGTGCTTCCCCTTGGCCATCTGCGGTATTAGGTTAACCGGACTGTTAAAAAGCTTCTGCAGTCATTCGTTGCCACGTCCCCAGTGCCTTCTGTAGGGCAAGTCCGTGCTTTCCCATCTTCCCCTTCGCTGTCCTTCAAGGACAGCAGAATGTGCCCAGGCCAAGGGCCAAAGGACGGGAATTGAGACACCTGGATTTTATTCCTGACTGCACCACTAGCTCGTTGGAGCAGCCATGGGGAAGAATCGGGGGGCCTGATTCTCTGCTCATGACTGCATGAGGCAGGAGCCCATGCGTGCCTCGTCTGCGTGGCATAGGGACCTGGCTTGATGTGTCGCCCTGCTCTGGACAGGCTCCCTCCATAGCCAGAAGCAGCATCTGCCTGGCACCGGGTGATTAGCACTGCTGAGTGTCGGAGCCGGGAAGCCCAGCCTGAAGGTGCTTGGAGGCGGCTGGTTGGGAAGCAGCCTGCACAGAGGGAGATGGTGAGCTGACCACGTGGAGGTGGCTACACAGAGGGCAAGCGGCTGAGAACTCGGCCTCTCATCGGCCCTTGTGTGTCAAATGGAGGTGGTTGCTCTTGACCAGGCCTGTGCTGAGACTGATCCTGTAGGTTCCCTGCCAGGGCTCAGACAGGCATGTTTGTTCAGGGAGAGCAGGGGATGATTCCTCCTTGCCCTTCCTCTCCGGGGCCAGATTCCCCTGGAGCAAGGAGGAGCCAGATCCACCAGGACCCTTCTCCTCCCAGGTTCACCAGCGAGCAAACGAGTGCGTGCGAGGGCTCCAGCTCTTCCAGGACATCAGCCGTGGCCAGGCTGTCACCAACATCCTGCACAGTGACTTTGATCTGGCCGCACTGAAGGTATTTCCCGCTGGCTCTTCCCTCCAGAGGAGAAACACAGCTTCCCACAGGACCTGCCGGGGGGGCTAAGTGGGGCTGCAGGAGTTGCCTTTCCCAATGACCCTGTAACCGTCTCTCTGCTGCAGCTGGGGGAAGCCAGGGGCTCAGAGCCGGGACCTTCTGTACCTCTGATATGCTTTCCTTTTATCCTTCCTGCTCGTTCATTTATCTTCCTCTTCTGTCTCCATTTCTCCATGTCCTTCCCCACTTCTCTGTTGGCCCTTTTGCTGCAGCCACTCCAGCTCATCTCCTTCTTACCCGCTCTCCCTCCTGGCTTTCCCCTCCCTCCCTGCTGGCTTGGCAAGGGAAAAGCCCCAGGAACAACACCCAGGTCCTCTCCCATCCCCCCAGCTGAGCCCCCACCCTGTATTTATTCCAACCTTTTACGAATCCCAGCCGTCGCTGCTGCTCGATGCGCAGCGCCTCTGGCGGCAGAGCTCAGGGCCTGCCCAGCGCTCTTTGTTCTTCCCTGCGCTCTCTCTCCTGCCAGCTTTCAAGCTAGGATCAGGGCCCAGCACTCATTGCCCCGTGTCAGAGCAAAGGTGACTGGTGTGCCTGGTGCACGGGGTGTGATGTGTGCAGCGCTGGGTCCTGAGGCTCCCCAGTCTTGGCATAGGTTGTGGCTGGGCTGGGCTGGGCTGGGCCAGGCCAGGCTGAGCTTCCCGGTGCTGGAGGCAGGGGAAGCTGCACATGATGAAGCTGGGATTTGCTGACTCCACGGCATGGGCTGGGCTGAGCACAGAGCTTCTAGCCACTGGCTCGGGGCATCATTGTAGGGCAGTCAGGTGCTCACCCTGTGCCTCAGTTTCTCTTGCTGTAGAACACGGGGGTGATGTATCTGCACAGACACGATCCGCATCAGGCACTGTCCAGCAAGCACTGACTGCACAGCTGGGCTTCCCTGGGGTTCCCCAGTGGAGGGGCCTGGCTGAGGACCAGCTCCTTTCACGTTCCTCTCTATGCAGGACAGCGTGGACATGACTCGAGCTGCCGTCATGGGCCATTCGTTTGGAGGAGCCACCGCCGTGCTGGCCTTGGCCAAGGAGCCCGCTTTTAAGTGAGTGTCTTTCCCTGACTGCTTCCAGCCTAACGGAGGAGCAGGCCTGGGAGCCAGGGATGGGAGCAGCCGGCCTCAGACCTGGTCCAGTCCCAGCCGCCTTGCATCCCCTGCAGGTGCGCAGTGGCCCTCGACGCCTGGATGTTCCCTCTGGAGAACGCGCTGTACCCCAAGGTGGTCAAGCCGGTGCTGTTCATCAACACCGAGACCTTCCAGACAGCCAAGAGTATCGCCAAAATGAAGCAGCTCAGCTCCCGCAACAGCCAGACCAAGATCATCACCGTGCTGTGAGTGGCAGCAGGGAAGTTGGGGGCTGAGGGCACCAGGCAGGGCAGGAATCCTGGCTCTGCCCTGAGCGACCCCGGGCAGGCCATTTCCTTGTTCTGTGCCTCAGTTTCCCCATCTGTGAGCCGGGGATTGCTCTGCTAAGCACAGCAAAAAGCTAAGCGTGCCTGCTGCCCCCAGGCCCTGCAGGCTCCTTCCCCAGCCCTCTGCAGCCCCACATCCATCACGAGCCCAGCTTATTCCCTCCCCATCCTTCCTCTCTGCCCCTTTTACATGAGAGCTCCTTGTGACAAAGGTCTTCCATCACACGGTTCCCAAGAGCCAGGTGTGGTTATGTGGCCTATGGGAGATGACACAGGCATGTATTAGCTAGACTGGGCAGTGCCACACCTTTTGGAGCCTTGTCTACACTAGTGGTAAAGTCCTGGCCTCTTCAAGCCTGTGGGAAAGCACCCCCAAGGCCAGGTTGTTGCCCTAGAGCAGAGCTTTCCAAACTGTGTGCCGTGACACATTAGTGTGTCGGCGGCAGTGTGTAGGTGTGTCGCGCGAAATGCAGAAAATTTTGCGGAAGGGCACCGCGGAGCTCCCTTACTCGCGTCTGCTTCCCTTGGCCCCTCCCCTGGAACTGAATTACTGTGTCGCGAAACGATGCGTGTCTAAAAAGTGTGTCACCAACATGAAAAGTTTGGAAAGCTCTGCCCTAGAGGGTCTGGGGACATCTCCCACTGGGAGCTCATGTGACTGGTGGCATGTTTGCAGCCATGTTGGGGGGGCTGGTGACCCTGTGCTGGCTGCAGTCCTGTCCCAGGGTGGGTGTCTGGGGTCTAGATGTGGCCTGCAGGGCAGGCCTGTTGCCTATAGCTCATCCTCTGCTCCCCCCTGCAGCGGCTCGGTGCACCAGAGTCAGACCGACTTCACTTTCCTGGCTGGGAACCTCGTCAACACAGTCTTCCAGACCAGAGGCCCCCTGGACCCCTGCAAGGGCCTGGCCATCACCAGCAGGGCAGCGCTGGCTTTCCTGCAGAAACACCTCGGTACGACACTGCTTTTGAGGGAAAGGTCCTATCTGAGCCCTTCCCGAAGCAGGCCTAGTGGTGGAACTGGAAGCCACATGCTCCTGATCCCACCCACTGCTCTGCTGGGGGTTTGGGGCAGCTGCTTGGCTTCTGTGCCTCAGTTTCCCCAACCCCATGGGAGTCCCTTTAAAGCCTTAAAACCCTGGGTCTAAGCTGCACAGAACTGAGAGTCTCCAATCTGGCCAGTACCTGCTGGGGGAGAAAGGAGGGGGCACAAGGTTGCTAAATGAATATGGGGAGGTAGGACAGAAGTGAGCGTGTGTCAGTTGGCCTTAGGGGGACCTAGGAGGGTCTCTGCAGGCTAACACCAAGCAGTCGGTGGGCTGTGTCTACTGGGTGGCAGTCGGTTGTAACCGTGAGGTCCTCTCTCCCCCACCCAGAGCTGAAGGAAGACTTTGATCAGTGGAACGACCTCTTGGATGGCATCGGGGACTCCGTCATCCCCGAGGCTCCCCTCTGCCTGTCCAACCTCTAGGGACGCTGCCCCTCGGTGCGGCCATGCAGTCGTCAAGCCATCAAGGTCCCGCAGAACTCGGAGCATCCCCTTGGAGACCAGCTGTTTCCCGTCACTGCCGGCACAAGGAGGCCATGAACTTGGTAGCTCCTAGTGCAAGCCAGAGACCCAAAGACCTCAACCTTTAGGGAGTCCTGATGGATGCTGAAGGCCAGGGGTGCTGGGCTAGGGTTGGCCTGGGAAGGTAGAGCCTGGGCACCTCCCGGAGATGCCCGGCAATGCACCACAGAGCCCAAAGCATCAGCACCTTAGTGAGGGCAGAGCTATGTCTCACATTCATGCCAAGCCAGGCCTAGCACTGCCCCTCACCCACCCCCACGCCCCTGGCGCAAGGGCTGGATGCTGCAGGCTATGCAGAGGAAGGCCCTGCAGCCATGAGGCGAGAGCCACGTTGGGTACGCGTGACAATGGGAATCTTTCCCGTTGTGCCTTGGGTGGAAATGCCTGAGATGCTGTTGTGACAGTCTGTAGCCCCGGGAGTCGTGTGCTCTGTACAACGGTGCCTTCATGAGACGCTGCGTGTCGTTCTTGCAGACGTGCAATGAATGTGGGGGGATGGGGGGCGGACTCCATCACACCTCTCTAAGCTGGGGGCTTTACTGCTTACTAACGAGCCAGCTGGAGCAGTGGGGTTGGGCACACGGGAGCCTTGGGTGCTATTCCTGCCTCTGCCACTGTTCAGCTCAGTGGCTTTGGCCCAGGGTCTTGCTCACCTGCTCTGTGCCTCAGTGTTCCTGCCTGCGTAATGGGAATCCTAATACTCAATGATTTGTAAAGAGCAGTGAGATCTGCAGGAAGGGGTTAGGGACCTGCAGCCCTGTCCTGCTACCCACTGGGGCCCAGTCTGTAAGACACAGGGTAGAAGGAGAGATCCCAGCTGGGCTGGGAAGGGAGCAAGCCGACAGCTGCTCCCACCACGGTGCCAGCTCGGCTCAGCCCGGCTCCAGCTTTGCCCTGGCTGAATTGCCTGTGGGTTCCCCACAGCAGGGAAGAACAGGAAGGGCTTGAGATCCCGGCTGCTTTCAATAGGCTGCGTCAGTGCTTTAAGCACCAGCATCTTCCTTTACGGCTGGATCCGTTCCCATGATCTCCCACGGCCGCCTGGCTCTGGGCTCAGCCTGCAATGGCAGGGCGCAGCTAATGGATGCGGAGCCTGGGAAAAGGGACAAGCCCGTGCGGCCCCATTAACTGTGCGAGACAGTGACTGGTGTGCAAATCAGACTGCATTTGCTTCCCTGAGTGAGCTGGCCAGGGATGCACCATGACAGCTACGCTGCATCCAGGCAGCTCTCGCAGTGCGCCTGGGAGAAGAGCTATAAATTGTGCAGGACTCTTACATAAGGGCTTTGGGGGAGGCCTGGAGGGGGGGTGAGTCACGTGGACGGTGCCTTCAGAACACGAGCCCTTCGTGGGACGCCCCACGTGGCGATAGCGCGCGGCCCCGTGCCGCAGCTCGGTCTCCCCCTTCATCTGAGCCAGCACCTCTCCCCGCCGCGATGCCAGCTCTGAGCCAGGGTCTCTGCACTGCTGTCACATCAGTGCAACATGGGTGCGAGACGCTGCCACGTCAGGAGAGCGGGGTCTGGCACTCGTCTGGCAGCGGCCTTGATGGCTGCCCAACGTGCAGGCCACAGAGAAGTCCTGCCCAGACAAGCACAAGCCAGAGTGGGGGGTGTCTAGTGGCTAGGCCACAGGGCGGGGAGTGGGGAGGCCGGGTCTCCTGCAGCCAGAGGCAAGCCCTGGCTGCTCTGGGGCCTCAGTCTACCTGTCTGTAAAATAGGATCATTCTCTCCCTCTGAAAGAGCTTTGAGATCCTCAGCTGGAAGATGCCCAGCATTGTTTTCTTCCCCATCACACGGCTGTGCTGGCTCCGGTCCAAAATGAAGAGGAGAGACTACTTCAGGGCTCTCCCCAGCAGGCTCCACATGCTGCCTTTCGCCCCTTCCCTCCATGCTGCTTGTGCTCAGAGCGCCTGCTCCTCCCGCCCTGCAGCGTCCTGCTCCGTGCACTCCCCGGGCCTTCGCACCTGCCCTGAAAGCAGCTCTTCTCCATTTGCCCACCCCCGGGAGCCCTGCTCCCTCCCTGCTCTGGGTCCCTCGGCACCTGGAAATGTTCCCGGGAGCGCCGAGTGCCTGGCCAGGCCTTTTGCACAGAGGATGCGGCGTTCAGGGGTGTGGAGGGGGACTATTCTCCCCCTGGTAGCAGGTTAGGGTTGAGGGGCTTCTCTGGGCCTGAGGCTGCCATGAAAGGAGCTGAACAGCTGCGCTGAGGCTGGCACCGGAGGCAGCCGCATGAGAAGCGCGGCGCTGGGCGGGGAGTGGGGAAAGGCCCCTGGGCCTGTAACCAGAGGGTGTTTTGCCTGGAGCAGGAGCAAGGGTGAGGCCGTTTGCATTGTGCACGCTGAAGGTGGGCTTTACCTGGGCACTCGGGGCTGTTTGGGCTCCTGGAAACCCCCTCCCCAAAGCAGAAGGGCCGTGCACCGCCTGGGTAGGAAGCTTTCCTCTCGCCTGGGAAAGGGCACTGAGCAGCCGCCCAGCCTGGGAGCCAGGGGCTGCATTCATCTGGGCTGGTCCCAGCTGGGTTCCCGGGCGGCTCTTCCCCGACACGGTGCAGATGGGCTGAATGGCCTTCGTCAGGAAGGAAGAGCCGCGCCAGGCCCAGCCCCTACTGCCCAGAGCAGCTGCCCCCGGCTGAGAAGGGTCCAGGGAGCTCCGACCAGGCAGGAACCCGGCTCGGGGGCCAGCGCCAACTCTGATGCTGCCCGCAGAGCTAGGGCTGTGCTGAGCAGAGACGTACGGAGCTGGGCGCAGGTACGGCAGAGACCCCTTTCCCCAGCCCCGGCGTGGGTCCCGCTACCCCCATCATTGGAGGGAAACTCAGGCTTTTGCTTTTCAGGGCTGGCGGGGTGCATGTCTCCCTGCACAGCGGCATCCCCTCCCCTTGGGCTCGGCCTCGCCACCCCGTGTCAGCGCAGCCGTCTGTCGCTAACGGGGGATTTCAGCAGAATCTGAAATAATGTGCCGTGCAGAGCCGGGCGGAGGTGCATCCTGGAGGGATGTATTGTGTAAGCTTGGGAGGGCGCGTGTGCGAGCGGCTGCTGGCGTGTGTATGGCGACGTGGGGGGTTGGGCATTGACAGCGTGCAGCGGGGCTGGCCTGGTGGGG